GTTCTGCGAACCCTGCGCTGCAACGCTATTGGGCCAGTATGTAGGCAAGCAAGCGCCGTGCTCGTCTGGAAACCCAGAGTACCAAGCCCCTACTGCCTCAGTCGAAGCACAGCTTGACCTTTCAACTGTCGGCCTTGGGCTGTTGAACACGACCGTGCCAGGGCAGCGCGTGTCAGATCTGCTCTTCGAGCAGTCTGCAGAAATGGCTGCTTCTAATTTCGGCAGAGTGCTTTGCACATCTGGCCCTCGAACGGGGAGGACACCGGGAAGTTGCAAACCGCATGCCTCAAGCTACAAGGAACAAAGCGAACCGAACTAATGAATATTTCCCGGTACTCTTGCATACTACACGGCCATAGCACAGCCTGAGCCAACGTCCAGACTGTGGTCCATCGCCGGAGATTGACAATTGTTGAGATCGTGCAGTCGAACCAGGCAACCCGAACTGGAAGGGAAGGGAAAGAAACAGGTCGAACCAATTGAAACCCACAGAACCAAGACTTTTTGCAAAAGGGCTCGCTTGGCCGCCTTGCAGAAGCCCGCAAAAAACGCACCGAGGCGCCGGAGTAGGTCTCACAGCGAAATTTCCTCACTGCAGGCATGGGCCCGGTGACCTCCGCGCGACGGTCTGCAACTCAGAACTTGGACTTGGAAGATGCGCCAAAGGGCATCTGCCATGTCTGCATATGCCGACGCGAGGCATGCGAAGTGCGGAAAGGGCAGGAAGTGATATGCTTTTGCCGAGGCCTGGTGCATGTGTGCTGGCCACTGCGACCTCTGGATACCGATCAGGTGTGGCCTTCGTTGCCGGGGGGAGCGCCGCTTGTCTCAGCTATCTTGGGCAGCGCAAGGTGCCTGACCTGTGCTAGGGGTCCTGTCAGTAGTCAGGAATTCCGACATGCCGCAGTACAAAATTTGCCATTGAGCCATGTTGTTGAGTTGCTTTTGGTGCCGATTGTTTGGCCTTGGAAAGTGCACAGTCCTGCCGACGCTTACAGGGGTTGGAGTGTCAACGCTGATGGGAGCCAGAGAACACGCAGTGCAACAGGAGCAGCAAGCAGTAGTAGTAGTCGTCGTCGTCGTGGTCGTGGTCGTGGTAGTGGTAGTGGTAGCGGTAGCGGTAGTGGTAGCGGCGGTAGTGCTAGCAGTAGCAGAGGTGGAAGCAGCAGTAGTAGTAGTAGTAGTAGTAGTAATAGTTTAGTTAGTTAGTTAGCTAGTTAGGTTAGGTTAGGTTAGGTTAGGTTAGGTTAGGTTAGGTTAGGTTAGTTTAGTTTAGTTAAGTTTATTGTAGTTTAGTTTAGTTTAGTTTAGTTAGTTAGTTAGGTTAGTTTAGTTTAGTTTAGTTCAGTTCAGTTCAGTTTAGTTTAGT